CTGGCGTAGTGTTTGCTGAAGATTATTCTCGGGGGCGGACATTCGGGCATTTTCACCGTATGGCAACCATCACGGTGAAAACAAAGGCTGAAAAATCTCAGAAAACGGTACTTTGGGATGGTTGTTGTGACTCCCCTGAACAAGATTACCCCTGTGTGTGTAACGCATATAAATTTGATTGTTCAGGATTACTTCAAAGTTGAGTTCCTGTTGTTTTTTCAAATTTTCACCAGCTCTTCGCTCGGCGTTCCGCATTCCTCAGCAGTGTGCAGAACCTGTATAAATGCATGGTACAGTGGTGTGCGTCTTAGCTCCTCCCCAGAGGATATCTATATATACATCATCTTAAAGCTTAACTATACGTTTCATAAATTTCATAGGTTAGTATAATTGGTTCATACTTCGAATTGGTCATCCCATTCAAAGACAACCAGCGTACGCCGTGAAGGATGGTGGTCGCCACGCCACATTGTATTTGAAGTGGGACTCTTAGCGACATGTACAACGCATGCATAATACATTGTTTGTTTACATGTATTCTGATCACACGCAGAACTAGGACTACTGCCCTTCATTAATTAAGACATTCAGCATTTACAGTTTTACTGCACTGTTTTAGTGCAGGATTAACGATGCACTCAGAGATCATTTCTCAATCTGTTGAGATTCAGGAACTATTATGTAAATTATTTGATGATCTGAATTTGCATAGATCCTGTAAAATGAATACTAAGGTGAAACCTTTGAGGGGTTTTTTCTCAAAAATTTGGAAGCAAAGAATTTTTTCTGTTTTTCAAATATTTTAAAATGTTCATACTCTTCTTGAATGTCCTTTCTATGATATAAAAAATACAAAAACTTCAAGGAAAATATTGCAAACATTGAAACAGATCATCAGCGGTGAATAATGACTATGAATGCTGTTGGGAAGATGTACAAATAAATCTAGGCCAAATGTCTCACAGTTTGTGAGAATCTCACAGTTCATGAGAATCCTGCAGTGCCATTAACAGGCAAGTAATTTTGAGGGGAAAATTAAACAAAATTGCAAAATGCAATGCAACGCAATGTCTTAAAAATGAGAAATTTTTTGTCTTACCTAATTTGATATTTTCAGCACATTTGAATTGTTCGAATTGGATGCTATATGTGGATTCAATATATAACCCACAAAATGAGTACACGTTCATAACATCAAGACACAAAAATATTCACTATTAGATTAATCTTAACCATGCAACTTTAAAGTCATATACAGATAAGAGTAAAATACTCACACCATAGTTCGTAATAATAATTACAACACTGTCCATCACCACAACAGTGACCTGTCTCACACCAGTAGTTTTCTCGTCTACAAAATTCTCTGGCCTGAAAAAATAAAAACCCCAAAATACATTGATTAGTATCTTACGAAAAAAATATCTATTATCATTTCAACGTTAGAAGTATTATTACGTGCATGACAGAAACCTGTACCTTGGATTATAAATGCATTTAGTAAAACTTTTACAAAAAAGTCAATGACCCATTTATATTATTTTTATTATTTGTTTCAATTTCTGGCATATTTTTAAATTATCAGAGTTTCAAAAAAATGTTTTATATTTTTCATGATTGAAATTGATAATTTTTCTCTATTGAGTTCCATGAATATGACTCTGTATAACAATGACCAATCTTTTCACAAATTGCATCATGCAATTTCACATCACCTGCTTAAAGCCTCCAACAAATAGCGAAAACGAATGAGAAAAAACAGCATTAGAGGCCATGCGTAAATATAGGATAATCTGACTCTCCAAAGTGACTATATAGCGAATGAACTGGATTTGATATAAGACAAACACAGTTAACCACAGCTTATTTTGAAAAAAAAATTCTCATCATCTCATCATGTGCCAACATGTTGACCTGTTTCTCTGTGCACCATGATACCATGAAACTACGTTGATATGCAAATAGACCATGCAGCTTTGACCTGATCTGACAGTCCCAATGACTGATTTGCAGTCACTGGCACTTTATCTATTCCTAATGTTTACAGCATGTTTACAACTAATGAACTTGGTTCCTTCAAAAAATGAAAATAAACCAAAAAGACAACTCTCTGACAACTTTATTTTAATTGATATAATTTGAAATTAGAACTCTGACAAGAGCCAATATACTGTATGCAATTCAGGGGAAATATTTAGGATTTTGTGGCATGAATTGCTATAAAACATACATATTCAATTCTGTAATAATTACTGTCAATTTTTCCCCAGTTACACTGTAAACAGATTAATTACTCACTTGGATTTAAAATGCCAGCCATCGCATCACATTCATATGGGACCCATATATGTGCAATGTGTGTAATTTGCATTGTTTACTCAAAATTTGAATGCGCTCTATGCAATGACAACAGCGTTTTAATTTTGCAAAATCAGATGAAATTTATGAAACATGAGAAAATAAATGTTAAGATTTTTTTTTTTTGAGGTGGAGTAGGGGGAGGGGAATCTTATTAGACACTTTGTTCAAAAAATAATTAATTAATTAATGAAGAACGATAATCTTTAATAGATGGCCTAAACTCAATTCAAGGATTATGTGTCAGGTCATCACATAAATTAACACTGAGAACATGTGTTCCCTTCTTTCTTCATTTACTATATTGGTTCCAGGTCACAAAATCAACATGTTTGTGTAGCAGCAAAAAGGAGGTTACATTTGTAACTGTCCTATCAACAGCCCTGGAAAATCAGCTGATGTCCTTCAGAACAATGGAAGCAACCACCACGATAGCGAAGGGTACAGTAAAACGAAAATAGGCTTCACAGTACTTATAATATGCAACGTTTAAAGCTTGAGCACAAATCAACATATTTTTTTACCAATCCAAGCTTATTGAATTAAAATTCTATACGCGAAGAATTGATAGAAACGAATGACTTGCACTTTTAATGCTCCACCACCCCCATCAAATGTGAGCGAGTGGTGCGTCCATTACACATCTTGTGGTAAACAACATTGCCCGTATATATCGAATGTCGAAACTAAGCAGCGGATCTTTGCATAGATCATAACAACTTCGCCACAGAATGCAAGACCTGCTGTGCTGATTCGTAAATTCTCATTGTGTGAAAATATTCGTTCTACATAAACAATGAACTGCAGCTGTGAACATGCTTAGTGAGGAAGACATTGAGACAAATAAAATAATTTTGCGATTATTCATATTCATGATTACGTGCAATCGAGTCGCCTGACCATCGCAAGTGTATTTATATCGATGGCTAGATAGGATTGATGGTGTCCCAAACATTGACAAAAATCATGTGACCGAGTGTCGGGAAAAGGTGATCGATAGCCTATGAGCGCTGCCGTTGGTTGATTGCATCATGCCTTAAAATATAAAATGTTTACATAGATTTCTATGAAGGTTGTCATCTCTGCCATAAAAATGAAGGTATTTTCACTAATAATTTATGCGACAACTTTGAAATTGTGTGGCGGACGGAATCTTTCGCGACATACATCACCCGGAAATGCATAGGGTTTGATTTGAACCAAACAGAGATTAGTGGGAACCCCCTGGAAAATGAACGTGAACCACGTACCTGGACAAACCCGAAGAAAGTTTGTAAGAAAGCAGTTTTCCAAATAAGCGATGATAGCTGCAGCATGCCCATTTTGTCAATGTATTTGTTGTTTCCTTGCAAACGCGAACGTCATTACCTAGTTAGCATGCACGTAACAAATGCATGAACTGGGTTACTTGCACTGGATGTCACCTTACTCAGCTGAAATCCAGTTACAGCTGGCTTTTGAGATTATGAAATCATAGCTCGTACTATTCACTTAAAGGGATGAGAAGGTACGTTGTGGAGGGAATAGCTATTGTTGGTCACATAAAATTTGATATAATTAGACAATAGCTCATCTTTATATGAAAGTAATTAAATATATATAGTAGTAAAAATATGTTTTGTAATAAAAATTACAGGTACGGAGTCGCGACATTCAGATGATACTTTCAATACACCCCCTTCCGTGTGCGCGAGTGATTTGCCTCATTTGCATAACATTTAAATAAGAAAGACTTCGAAACCGTTACAAGAGGAGTTTCCCCAGTTATTGCATCAGAAATTCCCCGGAACTGTCCCTTTGTGTTTAGGTTATTGGGTCAAATTTAGACCATACGCTCTTTGAAACAATGAAGGAAAACTGACGAAGCCGTCTGAAAGAGCAATAAAGTGCTCTCCGTGTTGATATTTTACAAACAAATTTTGAGGGTCGATTTCCGTGTTAATTTAATAGAGCTCAGACCAATAATTTAGTGGTCGGAGATTGAGACCCATAGACAGACTGAAATAGCTAAAGTAGTGTTCTGATGCCCGCCTGGAGTTGCATCCGGGCTGCATTCATTTTCACTATTTATTAGCTTTGTATATGCAAATCTTGGGGTTCGGTGTTTTCATTGGGGGCACTCTGTTTTTTACTTAGAAAGTAGGGGGATCAACTCATTTCTGAATTATGTTATAGGGGGTCAATGTGTTTTGGTGTAAGCGATGAGACTAAACCACTAACAGACTAAATGACTCTAATACAAGAACCATGATATATAAAATACAACAACAACATTTTCACATTTTGTAATTTTAGAGTGGAGTTACGGAAAGTATACCACTCTTGGCCATGTGATTCATTGTTCTGCCTGTTCAAGTTGGTTTAGTTCTGTCATACCTGTGACACATAACCTCTGATGAAATCAGACCTTAGCTAAGCCTAGCCTGTGCAACTTTAGTCAGTTGCAGCGCCTGGAGTTAACGAGCAGATAGGGTTCTTGATCGACTGTCGAACAAGATGGCTAAGAAAGGGGCTCAAACCTATAGCATCATCCATGCGATTTCCAGTGGAGGTTCTGAGAGGAAACAGAAATTAAATAGTTCATTTTCATTTAAACACGTACCAGTAACCAAGGTGTATAATTTCAGTAATACATAAATATTTAGGCATCGTTTTTGACTGTGTGGTTTTGTGATTCCTACAGAAATAGGTGAGAGTTTCGCAAGCTTTCACCAGACCAGCTTTCCAAAGCCTCCTCGATTTGTTTATGACGAATTGTGTCTTCACTGTGGTCAATAGATGAATTATATAATTAGTAATAGCAGAGGTACATTACTTGGGGTTACTGTATGGTGACATCATGTCAAGATCCCATTCAAGTCTCTTCTCGTAGATAGCGAGACTGAGGCTACGACCTTCTGACATGACACATATCAATGTTCAAGGTTTGTAATGAAAAAATAAAACTTTTCTTGTCACTATCATAGTGAAAAATGTAATACATCGAAAATGTACAGAAAATATAGTTCTCGTAATCCGTCATATCATGGGCAGCTATTTTGATCCACCTGGACATCCCAGTATCCTAGTTATCTCGGGCATGCGCATTCGCATTTTTCTGAGTTGGAACGCTTATGCGAGAGCGAGATTGTGACGGGATCTTGGTATCATGTCACCGTAGTAACAAACCCTCAAGTAATGTACCTCTGGTAATAGACAGATTTTTACACTGTTACTGGTATATGCGATGAAATATGTGAACAGGTCAAAACATATCACTATACCGTGGAACTATCCAGTGCCAAGAAATAAATTATAATCGGACTGCATAATGGCATTTTAACAAACCGAAACGAAAACTACATACGTGAGGGGCATAGACTGGAAATCGAGTATTTACCCGCGGGGCTACTTCCATCATAGAAGTGCAATACGGGTATGTGCCGCCCGACAGGGGTGTCATTTCACGTTTTTTTTGTTTAGAAGTGTGTAGCATTTTTTTGCTTTTTCACAGGTCCTTATATTCAAAACCAGATACCGGGAAGGCTGAACAGAATGCGTCGCCCAAATGCGCTCACTGGTTGCGAAAATTGTGAGCTGGATGTTGTTGTTTTTTCGCCTCTGATGTCTCGTGTATTCATGGATGATGTTATTCCTAATTGATGTGCATGCTCACATCAGGTCGCTGAAAACACTTGCGTTTAGAAGTGAATTTGATTTACGAGAGGCAGGCTGCACACCCCACCCAATTAAGGTGGGTATTTACTTGTTTGGAGATGAACAATATATCAAATATCGTTAAAAGTTGTATTCCCACTTTGTATCATATGCACTGATTATTGTGACTATGAAAAATGATTAAATCACTTGGTTTGGCAAGAAATTATTGAAATAATCACTGAAGATAGATTACACTGAAGGTCGTGGTGTTTAAGTTAGAAGCCTACTTATGATTTTAAATACCCAGAATTTATTATTTTTCCAATAAATTGTAATTCCGGGCAATATAAGGTTATTGACTTTAAAAAAAATTGGGGTAGCAGCTTAATTTTCGAGAAAATGCTAGTTGTATTTTAGTGGATTGTGGCCATTTAGGCATTATTATAATGATGTTACCATTCAATGTTACCACAGTTTCCTATAACAGAGATACTAGTAATATGCCATATCTCAAATTGTAGGCCGGTGACATGATGGGGTACTTTTTGTTTCCAATTATTTCAAAAATCTGGGTTTTAAAAAGTGTCGAGAAATGCAATTTTTATTTAACATTGGGCTCTTTGGATGTTTGGAATAGCGATTTTTGAAAAATATTAGAACAAGTTTCTCAAAATACGTCACTGTAATACACAAAGGAATGCTATTTCATGATACCTTGAGAAAATAACTGTTTTACACAATAAACCAATGAACATTATAATGCGATATGTGACCAACTTCCTCAAACATTGTAAGTAAACTTCTACCTTATTTCTAAATCAAACATTCTTGTAATTGCACTGTTCACTCAAATATACTTTACAGTATTATAGAAAAGCCCTTTAAAATGGGTTTCTCTTGAACTTACCCTCGCCCACAATGGGTCAATTGGAAACATTCTGCATATTATCATACAAAATGGGAAATGCAGCTGGAATATAGTTTAACAGATCACTAGCATTGCATTCTATATGGCAAGTAAATTGCGATAGATTTAATTTTAGTTAAAACAGTATGTCAGTGCCATGAATTCTACATGTTCACAGTGGCATGTGTGACGTCACACTTCGCCATAACTTGCCTCGTAGTAATAACATTACGAGTCCCAAGGGGAAACAGAAAACATAACTGTCAGACGAAGTATGGGAAATCTTAGACCAATGCGTCACGGAACAAGGTACGCCTCTACTCGTTATTTCGATTTATAACAATTAACAAACAATGACAGACGAGGTCGATCAACTTTATTTTTCGACAAAAATGATTTGTGTAGAAAATTACGTTAATTTTTCTTTCTCATTTCACAGAAGACGTACATACCGTACTTTGACCAATTTAAGTTGATTTTCGGTCTCGGTGCACCGTATATGCAACTAGGCAAATAATTAGGATTCGGTGTAGAATATACATGACAGACAATGTAACAGAAGATTTCAAACCGTCGATCAGAACATTTATTACAATAATGGCATGTCGGAAGCAAAATACAATATATATATATGTTCATTAAAGAAATGCAAATACCAAGCTACAACACACTGTATCTTTACTGCACGTCACGCCCTCTTGAGACGAAAGATGCTTTTACGTAAACAAATGACAGGGAGTTAGTGTCTCGTCGCTAGAGGGCGCAAAGATTTTTTGTGAAATACAAATGCAAGTACAAAACAGTAGCAAATCTAGGTAT